CCAAGACATATTTGATGTCGAAACTGGTCTGGCTCAGTGGATAGAGTGTTGACCTGCGGACTGAAGAGTCCTGGGTTCGATTCCGGTCAAGGGCATGTACCTTGGTTGAGGGCACATCCCCAGGAAGGGGATATGCAAGAGGCAGCTGATCGATTTTTCTAACTCTCTATCCCTCTCTCTTCCTCTCTGTAAAAAATCAATTATATATATATATATATATATATATATATATATATATATATATATTTAAAAAAAGAACAAGACAAGTTTGAGCACAGCAATGGAAAGCCCACAAAAGGAACAGCCACCTGCTGCAGAGGCTACCAGTGACGTGATATTCTGAACAACTTCCATGCCCTGAAATGTCCCATTCCTTATGAAGTTTGATATGAGGTTTGATCTTGCTGTGTTTGCCATTGTTTTTGCTTTCTACTTCCCCAGGACTCTTCAATAATCCACTTGAGTAGGTCTTTGCTCCTTATAATTGGCTGGTTCCCTAACCTATAATCCTCTTGAAAACATTGTATTCCCAGAACTTTTTCCTCCAGATACTTACTCATATTTCTGTCCAGTGTTTCAAGTCATCTCTAAGAGCCATTACATTATTATGCATTGTTTTTCTTTGTATAAACCTGCCCTTTCCCCTCTACCATCACCCCTATTTTTACATTAAAGGGATTGCAGCTAGGTTGTTGAAGGCAGCTGACTCAGTGTTTTTTCCATTTATGTAGTGTGTGCGGCAAGGACTTTGGGGACATTTATAATAACTCCATTCTTTGCCTAATGACCTACTGGCACCAGGAACCCAAAGTGGCCTGGTGGTGCTCTGTTTCCAGTTCAGTGAGACACAAGGTATCTCCTAAAATAAATGTTCTTTAGAGAAACTGGACCAAAACTCAGTAGACTCTAGGTTTGGAGATAGGAAACCCAAATTCCTCAAGTGGATTACCGGGTGCCACCACTGTTTTGACCCCTTGGTTCATGTACTCATGTAGTCTTTCTATTATAGACATAATACCATATATGTAGGTAATTGGTTCAGTGCATATCAATGCATGTACTGTATACCCAACTATGCAAGGTGCTTCATCTGATATGAGCAACTTAGCTTCATCTTCAATACGTGCCTTTCCACAGTTCTCTCAGGCTAGCTATCCTATATAATAAAAGGATGATATGCAAATTGTCCCCTCTACCAGGAGTTTGACCAAAGTTCGACCAGGGGGCATAGCCAGCCCTCCAACTGCCTGTGGTCCTTCTCCCTGGCTGTTCCCACCCCTGGTATCGCTCCCCATCAAGGGTGGGGCAGGCTGGCCAACCTCCCATGTCCCCTCCCTGGATGGCCAGGCTTGATTGTCCCTGATCAGGGCAGGCCAGCCAGACCCCCCCCCCCCTTACCTGTGAATAATGAGTAAGAACCATTAATTCTGTGGTTACACACTCATTGTCACACCTCCTTGACTATAAAATAGGTTCCTTAGTTTAAGGTATGACTAATGGATAAGGCATCCTGTAAGCTCACAAATGGTGCTAACGTTGACAGAGTAGTCAGACTTTTAGAGCATGTATCAATTTTAGTGTGATATTTTACTTCTTTTGTATTGATCCATGCCTAGTGCAATGGTGGGCATAAAGGAAAAATTAGTAAAGAGCTCATACATTTTCTTTAAAGCTATATAGTTTACCCTAAAAATCACAAAATTTGTGAGTTGGTTGTTTCCGTCTGCATCATGTGAGGAAATCATCGAAAGCAAATTTTGCTCAGAAGCGAAGTAGTAGCTATTGTTTCTATCACTCTTTGTTAGGGATTGATACCATTGATACTCAAGGAGGAAATAAAGTGAAGGTGTATCAGAATCTCTGAGGCTGATGTTGTTTGTTTGTTTGTTTATTTATTTTGATTTTTGAAATTTTAATTGTATGGTCCAGGACACACCTCTTCATCATTAAAACTAAAGTCTCACAAACTTGCAACCCAAAAAAGAAATCTGGGAATAAACTTAACCAAGGAACTAAAAGACCTGTAAGAACACTATAGGACATTGAAAAAGGAAATAGCCCTAGCCAGTTTGGCTCAGTGAATGGGCCTGAGTTCAATTCTGGTCAACGGCATGGACCTCAGTTGCAGACTTGATCCCTGGCCTTGGGTGGGGCCCTTGTGAAAGGCAACCAATCATCGATGTGTCTCTCTCACATCTATGTTTCTTTCTATCCGTCTCTCCCCCTCCCTTTAACTGTCTCTAAAAATCAATGGAAAAGTATCCCTGGGTGAGGATTAATCAAAGAAAAAAGAAATAGAAGAACAAACAAGTGTAAGCATATACCATGTTCATGGATTGGAAGAATTAACATTATTAAAATGTCCATACTACCCAAAGCAATCTACAGATTCATACTATCCTATTAAAATACCAATAGCATATTTCACAAAATTCCAAAAATATATATGGAACTAAAAAAGACCCCAAATAACACCAGCAATCTAGAGAACAAAGTTGGAGGGCTCACAATACTGGATGTCAAATTACACTACAAAGCCATTATAATCAAAACAGGCTGGTGCTGGCATAAGATCAAACATGCAGACCAATGGAACACAACAGAGATCCTAGAAATTGACTTGTTACGCCCAGACTTCGTGATCCCCAAACCACCAGGAGCCGAGTCCAATGGAATAAACAAAAGAGCCTTTTCCATGCTAGCATGGGCTCTGTCCCACTCACGCTGGCAGCATGGTGGAAGAGAGAGCGAATTTTGCCCAGTCCATGGGTTTTGCTCCGGTCAGTGGTGATGTCACTGCCTTGGCTAACCCTGATTGGTTGGGTGAGGGCTAGGGTTCAATTACAGAATGGAGGATAACTCCACCCTGCCTCACAGTGGAATCAGGAGCCCATCCTCACCCTGCCCTGCCCTCTCATTCCCCCCTTGTCTAATGTGTCTGAGTCAAATCATTGACTCAGCCTACTTTCTTAGGCTGATGTTGTTTAAAAAAAGATATACAATGCCATAGTTTTGTTCTTATTTAATTTGATGTGACATAGTGTTAAAGGATAATGTTTGACTTGTGAGCTTAAACAAAGCAGTACTACCTAAATCCCTTCCAAATCACTTAAAAAAACCCCAAACATATATATATATATATATATATATATATATATATATATATATATATATTGTTTCCCCCAAAATAAGACAGTGTCTTATATTAATCTTTTCTTCCAAAGTTGCGCTAGGTCTTATTTTCAGGGGATGTCTTATCTTTCCATGCGCTAGGTCTTATTTTCGGGGAAACACTCTCTCTCTCTCTCTCTCTCTCTCTCTCTCTCTATATATATATATATATATATATATCTGCTATATTTAGTTTCACAAGACATCACATTCTCTGAGAATCCATGAAATCATAATACCTTAGGGAAGGGGATTCTGTTCAGCAGGCCACCCTGCCTGTCCTAGTTCTCCCTGCTTTCCCTGTCTCTGTTTCTGCAGAGGCTAGTCTTTCCCCCAGGAGTGTGGCTCTCTCCCATTCTCAGTTTCTCTCTTTCCACTCCTATTTGCTCCATGCCCCAACTCCAGCCAAGAACCTTAGTAGATTCAAATCCTCGGTTTCCTGAGCACCTCCTATAATCAGGGTCTTCAACCCTCTCTTTAACCAGTATTCTGTACCCTGGTGCAGGCTCCCGACTGGCTGATTCAAGCAGGTCCTCCTCTCCAGGTAGCCTCAAGGGTTGGCTGGAGCGGGGGAGGGCCTGCGGGGCGCTTCCCAAGCCGGGGCAGTCCCAGTCAAGACTGGGGTTCGGGCTACAAAGGCAGCCGGCGGGCTTGGCCGGGGAGGAGGGCGGCAGGCCGCACAGGCAGCTCCGGGGTTCCCACGCCTCACCTGCGGGCCTCCTCCGGGCCCACATCCGGGGCCCCGCCCTCTGCGCCCGGAAGTGCCAGCGAGAAGCACCGCCCTCCCAGCAGCGTAGAGCGACTCCCCCAAGGTCCGAGGGGCCGCGAGCAAAGGTGTCTGCGACAGGACGGCAGCCTGGCCCGCTGGGGCGCTCGGGTGAGTCCCCGGAAGCCATCGCGGGGTCGCGGAAAGGGGCGGCCCCAGGTTTCAGCCTGCCGGGGAGGCGGCGGCGGCGGGTCCGGCCGACGGCGGTTTCCGTCCCGGGAGCGCGCGGGCCCCCGGGGGTGCGAGGGCCTGTTTCCCCTCAGCCCGGCTTCGCCCCGCGGCCGGAGGGCCCGCTGTCAGGACCCGGGGGCCGTGCCCGGGTGTCAGCCGGGTGACCGTGGCCTGCCCCGCCTTTCGGGGGCCATGTTTTCACCCCGCGGGGACGTGGGAGGAGGGCCGCGCCGGGCGAGGCCTGACCGCCCGCCGCCAGGGCCTTGCCGAGGGCCGCGGAGGGGGGACCGCCCTTTGCCGTGAGGGGGACCGGACCCCGCCGCGTCCTTGGGTCCGGAGGGCGCCAGGCCAATCCGCCTGGGCCGCGGCTCTCCCCCGGGTCCCTGTCAGGATTGAGGGAAGAGGCCTGCCCACCTACCTAGTCCGAGTCGGCGAAGGGTCTCATCCCCAAAGTGGGGTTTTTTGTTATTAGCCAAGACTATAGGGTAATTGAAAATGGGCTGACGGAGTGTTTACCAAGTAATCCTAAGGGGCCTCCTCTTAAAAAAAAAAAATGAGTAATCCTAAGTAGCCTATAACCCTGGGTAACAGACTCGAGCCTTGAAAGAAATTTGTAAATCTCAGCTATTTTAAACGTTTTCTCACAAACCTTTACTGTATGAAATGGTACTTTCTTGATTTTTTTTTTTTTTTACTTTTTTGGAAATGCCACACATTCGTTGTTTAATTTAGGTGCTTAATCATTATCAAGTATTTTTAATTGAGGATCGATAGTGTCTAAGGTACTTTTGCTAAGGGCTCAGGATATGAAATCACGGGCTGTTTTGATTTATTGAAATAATTTCTCCTAATCTCACCCCCACAGTGATGGTCATTGCCCTCCAGAACAGGGATGGAGGAAATATCTGTCCAGGAAGCAGCAGGATCACCAAGGGTCCGATTTCAGTCTTTGGAGACCCCGTCTGAGGGTCTGTCCCCAGAGCCTCAGTTCCTGCAGGACACCGACATGGAACAGGGACTCACTGGGGGTAAGGCAGAGAGAGCTCCTACAGTCCAGGAGAATGGGGAGTGGAGAGGGGCTTCTGGGCCTGGTAGGAGAGAGGCCAGGGACTCCGATAAGAAGACCGTCCCTCAGAGGGAGGTCTGGAAGGGAGGGGCTCGTGTGCCTCAGTTCAGTCCTGGTCTTGGGCCCCTCTGTTAAGGACAGCCTGTCTTTCCTTAATAGGCAGAATGGTAGTCGCTCTGCTCCAGCTGCTTTTTGATGATACAATCATCCCATTCGCCACATCCACAATCATTTCTAAGAAGTGCCGGTTTTTTGCCACATCTCACAACCCTTGCTTGGCTTTCATTTCCTCTTAGGCTTAGGGCTATCCCTCCCCCTCTTCCCTTCACTTAGTATCTTCTCTCCTGTATGACCTTTCCCTGCTTTGCCTCAGGCCATTCTGTTGCAACTGCAGTGTTTGTGACTAACTTAATTGTGGTCAAGAAAGAACCCGTTTAATTCCGTGGTTGAGCCCGTATGAATGTCTACGTGTCTTATATTGATTATACAATAACATTTTTATGTATTACATAGGTAGGTTGATCTGTCCTGTACTTCCTTTGTCCTGTGATCTTCTCTCAGAAAGTTTGTAGCCAACTGCAGTGTGTCAGCAACACTAGGAATGCAGAGTGCTGTGGGGCATTGTGGGAGTGTGGATAGGATTGTGTGGAAACAAATGGCCATTCCTTATTCTTAGCTGCTTTACACACTAGTTGCAGAGATAGTGCCCATTCACAAGATAAAGGCTTAGTGATTATAAATCAGTGTCTGGGAAAGGGTCAGAAATCTATTAGGTAACTGTGGCTCTTGACAAGTCGCTGTAAGTTCTTATGCTTTGCTTTGCCCATTTGCAAAACGGGTATATTGCTTAATATCCTGAAGCATCGGTCTAAACTTTTGTAGTAGGACATCCAAGTGCTGAGAAGGAGCAGAGTAGACACACTCAATACCTGACAAATGTCCATTGGTTTTACTAGAATGTTGATGTGAAGAAGGGTCCTGCCGGCTCTCTTTGGTAAGGGAGCCCTAGGCAAGGGCTGCTCTCACTCTTGGCTCCTTTCTCCTCCCTTAGCTCCACCTGTTCCCCAGGTGCCTGCTCTTCCCCACGAGGGAAGCCCAGGAGACCAGGCAACTGCACTCCTGACAGCCAGGGACCAGGTGAGCTGAGGAACCTTCTTTTCCTCAGGGATTGTTGCTGCTTATTGAGTGTGGCCCTTCCCTCACCCCATCCATAAACCTTGCCTAGAATTTTTTTAGTAACAGACTCTGGTTTCAAAACTGATCCTCTTCAGAGACCTGGACACCACACAAACCCATCTTCCCAGCTTCTCAACACCACCAGAAAACACTGTTTCTTCTTTCTCCCTAGGGTTTTGATGGGGGCTTATTGTTTAAGGGTTATGGGATTTATTCCCTAGATTCTAATCCGTTCTCACTCCTCCCTGACAAATACACACTGGAGTCTCTATATCATCTCCTTCAGTCACTGGCCATGATGCTATAGTGGCCTTATTCCCAAGAGCAGCCGGGCTGTATTATTTCAGGAGTTTGTGACATTCGATGATGTGGCTGTGCACCTTACTCGAGAGGAATGGGGATGCCTGGACCCTGTTCAGAGGGATCTCTACAGAGAAGTGATGTTAGAGAATTATGGGAACGTGGTCTCACTGGGTAAGGACTTCTTTTTATTCATTCAGTTGACCTATTGGGATTTCTTTACTGAGAAGGTGTGAGGTCTCTGAGAAAATAAGAGTTTGGCTCAGATTCCAGGTCTAAGAACCTCTGAACCCTCTATCTTTAAGGTCATCTCCTCTGGGAGTGGTTTTCCTTTGGGGATTTCTAGATGAGACGTTCTACTCCTTATTCTGAGTTAATGGTTCCTGCTTTTATGGGGTATCTGTTCCCTGTTAGAAAAGGGAAGCTTGCTTGTGCTTTGCCTAAGTTTTCACCTTCGCTATTTTGTTTTATTTTAGTTTAATTTTTATTTTATATGAGAGAGACTGTAGGGCCTCCCAATCTACAATGAGACACTTTCTTTCCTGGTAATTCAGTTCCTTTGTATCTGAGTTTCCCATTTTCTTTGGAAGAAGAACGCCTTTAAAAAAAAACACACAAATATATATATATATATATATATATATATATATATATATATATATATATATATTTTTTTTTTTTTTTTTTTTATTGATTTCTTACAGAGAGGAAGAGAGTGGGATAGAGAGTTAGAAATATTGATGAGAGAGAATCATCGATCAGCTGCCTCTTGCACACCGCCCCCTACTGGTGTTGTGCCTGTAGCCAAGGTTCATGCCTTTGACCGGAATCGAACCTGAGACCTTTCAGTCCACAGGCCAAAGCTCTATCCACTGAACCAAACCGGTTTTGGCGAAGAATGCCTTTTTTAAAGATAAGCTTAAATCCTTCTTGTTGAGTAATCTTTTACAAGAGAGATTACTAAATTCATCTTCAAGCAGGCAGAATTTGAGAGACTTCATTTAAAGGCATGACTCACTGTGCATACATTTCAGTGAATCACCCAGATGGTAATCCTAAATAACCTCATTCCTAGCACCAGAAGTCTCAGATTTAAACCAAGTCTCTGCTTTGTCATTTGGTGGTATATAGTAGGCTGCCCAGATTAGGCAACCTGTGGTGCTGGGAAACATTTTTATCAGTGGGGGGGTTGTTGATAGCCCCCTTGATGTAAGCACTGCTCCTTTCCCTTCTCCTTCTCTCTCTCCCTTTTTTAAATTTATTTTTTATTTTATTCTATTTTTTAATTTTTATTATTTTTTTAAAAAAGTCTTTATTGATTGCAGAGAGGAAGGAAGACGGAGAGAGAGATGGAAACATCAATGATGAGAGAGTATCATTGATTGGCTGCTTCCTGCACGCCCCCCACTGGGGATTGAGCCCACAACCCAGGCATGTTCCCTTGGCCAGAATCGAACCTGGGACCCTTTAGTCTGCAGGCCGACACTCTATCCACTGAGCCACACTGGCGAGGGCTTTTTTTGTTGTTGTTTTTTTGTTGTTGTTACCTGTCTCTGCTTTTGTTCTTTTTTATTTATGTGTGAGTTTAATGAAGGTTTTTCTTTTCTCTCATTTTGCTTTGCCTATGCCGATGGCATCTAGGGTTGTTGCTTTGTCTCCTTGACTACACTCAGGATTAAAGAGGTCTTCTTCTCTGGGGAGGCAGCCTGCCCACTGGGAAGGTTTTAGCGTGTTTTCCATTCGTGGCTCTTTGATCTTTGTAGGCATACTTCTCCGTCTTCCCACCACCCGGATTCATAGTGTGAATTCCTGCCCGGCCCTGAGTCATACCCAGGCAAGTGCTTTCTCTGGAGAAACACTTGCAGTCCTTTCAGCAGGAATCTCCAAGAGATGGCCCAAGTATCGGCTTCCCATCGATATTGCTCATCCCCGCTCGGAAACTACTTTTCCACAATTATAAGATATTACACTTGATTGATGGAATAGATGCTCCCAGGATGCCACCACTATGTAAAATTGCAGCTCCTCAAAAGACCTTTGTTAAGTTTCTAAAGGGCCAAGGAAACTCCGTTGCCACCAGATGCATTTTTGTATCCTGAATTTTGAGTTCATTCAGAAGCCGTGGTTGGTGGTCATCTACTTGTGTTCTGAGAAACCACCAAGTTCAACGCCAGCTCTTCAGTTCTGATGTTTTCATTTTATTTTAGAATGTGGAATGTTTGTTGCGCGCCCCCTCCTTTTCTGTAGTGAACAGGACCTGCTCCTTCTGATGCTTAACTCTCTTGTGACCCCGAGCTTTCTTTATATTTAACATTCTAGTCTTCTTCTTTTGAGTCCCTGTGGCCGCCTCCAAGGTCCTGACTTTTCCCCCTTTATTATTAGTTGCTAAACAAGATTGATACGTTTACATGACCTTTTCTGATTAAGTGTTCCTTAGCTCTGTCCTTGGTGGGAAGGAAATGGGAAGACAAGAGAGTTCAATTTCTTTATTTCAGGGCATCAAATTGAATGTATATTTAACAATTTTGTATATTGTAAAGTGATATGTAATTACAAGATACTATAAATTTTATCTAATAATAACATAATTTCCAACAGTTCCCCTGTCTACTTTTTGGAGTTAAGCAACTTCTTAGCAGCTTAATCAGCCTAAAAGCACAGCATGCTAGTTAACTGAATTTCGTTCAATTTTCTCACATCTCTTCATATACACAGGACACTTGTGCACATTTATACATATCTGGGCACACAAGCACATAAGAAATCCTCATATTCAATTTGCTCTTGTGATAGGAGCATCTCCTTAGTAATTATTTTCTATTGTCCTTGGGAAGACCTTTCATATTTGTGGGTTCAGCAAATTCCATGTGAATTTTAAAGTTATACACTTACTTAACTTAGCTTAATGTTGATATTATAAAATAAGGACTTTTATAATTCAGTCCCTGACTTAGCAGCCATACATCTTTTTTCCCATGGCAGTAGCTCTGAGGTGTATTTGTCACAGACATCAGAACTTTGGTCCTTTGGTTAAGTGCTTTGAATATATTGTAGTAAATAAAAGAGTATGCCCTCTCTGGTTTGGCTCAATGGGTAGAACATTGGCTTGCAGATTAAAGGTCCCGGGTTTGATTCCCATCAAGGGCATTTACCTTGGTTGCAGGCTCCTCCCTGGCCCAAAACCTGGTCGGGGTGTATATGGGAGACAACCAATGTTTCTCTCACATTATTGTTTCTCTCTGTCTTTCCCTCTCTTTTTCATTCTCTTTAAAAGATCAATGGAAAAATATCCTCGTGTGAGGATTAACAAAAAAATAAATAAATAAATAAGTATAGAGTATGAACAGCTGAGTAAAAGAGTGAAAAAGTTTATAAAATCATAATTTTATTACCAAATCTAAAAAGAAGCATACGCTATTAACAATGTATGAATTACTGGCCTGAGGGTCATACCCAAAGGAAAGTTATATGTGACTTAGTGTTTAATTAAATACTGGACATTAAGACTGGGAAAGAGGCCTGGATTGCATTGTAAGTGGGTCAGAGTGCTGGGTGCTTAATTAGATGACAGCATTAGAAACATGTTTATCAGAATGCTGGTTCATGATAAGTGACTTTATCAGGAATGTTTGGCACATATCCCCTAACTTAAAAAAAAAAAATTATTAATTTTTTACAGAGAGGAAGGGAGAGGGATAGAGAGCCACACCAGCCAGGCAAAATTTAAAATATTTAGATTAGAGGCTTGAGCTACAAAAGAAATCTAAGCAAATGCTATTTTTAAGAGCACAGAATTCAACCTAAATTTAGAAAAAGGCATTTATTTTTATTGATTTTAGAGAATGAAAGGGGGGAGAGAGAGAGAGCAAGAGAAACATTGATTTGTTGTTCCATTGATTTATGCATTCATTGCTTACATCTTCTATGTACCCTGACTGGCGATTGAATTTGCAAGCTTAGGATATCTGGAACACACTCAGAGCTACCCATCCAGGGCAGGAAAAGACAGACCAATGGCAAGAAAACCTGTCTTAATGCTTTCTAAGACCCTTAGTGTGGTAGAGTAGAAAGAATATAAACTCTGGAATTAAATTTGGGTTCCAGTTACCAGCTGTGATACACTGAGAAAATATTTAAACTCATACTTATTTTCTTCACCTATAAAACATGAAAAATAGTGTCTTCCTTTTGGTTTGTGCCACGGATTAAGTTAGATTATGTTTATAATTACCTGGCTCATGGTAGTTACTCAAATGCTTGTTTGAAAAGGACAAGTGATAAGAGAGTGTTCAAATTATTTCTTTACAAGTGCAGTTTCCTCAAGTTGAATATTGCTCTGACTGTGCCTAGAGTTTGGATTTTTATTATAGTTTTTATTTTTTATTTTTTTGGCACTAAAGATCTCTTAGATCCCTTTTAATGAAAACATTCATGATTCTAAATCTTTTGGATCCTGGTTCTCCAATCACTATTTCTATTTTTTTATTTTGTTTACTATTTATTCCATTATCAACATATTGGTATTCTGTGCTCTTTCTATACATATTTTGGAGGAAGGAATGGATTTCATTCACAATTTTTTTTTACTAGTAGATGATTTAAAAGCCATGTTCTAAAATAAGACTAGGGTTATGACCTAGCTTAACCACTTATGGACAAGTTAATTAACCTCTTTGAATTTTAGTTTTCCTATTTTTAAATGGTTATAATAATAGTGACTACCTCATAAAGGTATGGTCAGTATTAAGTGAATGCAAGTTTGTACAGCTCATGGTATGGTACTTTGTACCTACCACCTGCTTAGTAAACCATAGCTTAATATTTTGATGATACAGGTGACTTTAAGTCCATATCATGAACTCTGTTTTCTTTTGAACTTCAGTCTTGTATATCTAATTGCCTGTTAAGCATTTTATATCTTTCTACATTACCTTAAACACAAGTCCAAAATCAAACCTCTCATTCCAAATTGAGATGATCTTTTTTTATTGTACATTTGTGACTTAAGTGTAGATATAAAGAACCAAAATTTCAGTTGTCAAATACTTAGAAATATCTTTTTAAAAAAAAATATATTTTATTGATTTTGTCCAGAGAGGAAGGGAGAGAGAGAGAGAGTTAGAAACATGGATGAGAGAGTGTCATCAACCAGCTGCCTCCTGCACACCCCCTACTGGGGATATGCCCGCAACCAAGGTACATGCCCTTGACCGGAATCGAATCCGGGACCTTTCAGTCCCCAAGCCGACGCTTTATCCATTGAGCCAAATTGGTTTCGGCAAATACTTAGAAATATCTTAATAAATATCTCAAAAGTAGAAGTTGCAAATTATGTTATGAGAATTCTAAACAGAAGAGTTGCTGCTACAATGCCACAGTAACTTTTTTTTTAACTTGCAAAACTATTTTATTTGACATCGGGGACCTTACTAAATACATGTCCAAAAGAACTCTATTAATGCCCAGCAGGAACTCAGAAACACAGTAAATAAAAGACATTTATATCTTTTTTTTTTTCCTGATCACTCTGCTCTTTAGACTCTTACACAGAATCCCAAAGGGTAGCTGTTTATATTTTCCAAGCCCAATGCCCTTTTAAAAACATTGGCTATTTGTTATATGTTGATACTTGGACACAAAATTGGCACTCAATGAGTAGCTTTTAAGTAAATGAATCAAAAGAAATACAAGATACAAGCTACATGGTCCCTGCAAGACACAAGATACATGATTCCTGCAATCAGGTAGGAATGATGATATCTGAAACAAAGTAAAAATTCTATAAATTCCATTATATAGTGACATATCAGGATAAGAGGAACAAATAAATTTTGTAGACAATTCAGTAAGTGAAGAGAAAGGCTTTTGGAGATGAGAGGCTTGAGCTAAGACCTTGTATGTGTGCTACTAGAAGCTTTCTGGGTTGGAAACATGAAAAAAAAAATGCCCCTTTGATACTATAATAGTTCTGGCCCTTCAGAAGCAGACTGCCTCTTACTTTCACTTTAAAAGAGTTTAGATCCTAGCAGTCCATTATGCAAGCCAGGGAAAGACCATTTTATGTGAAGATGCACTTTTATTGCACTTTCCTCACTATATATTAGAATTATTTGTTTATACTTGTCTCTGCAGTTAAAAGTATAAGGTCCTTGAGAGAATGGGCCTTATTGGCTTGAGCCCTTTATCTCTGACATACTTTGGATAGAGAGGGCATCCCATAAATGTTTGTTTAATAAATATGAGTGTAAGCTCCTAATGGGAGAGAATGAGTCATATTATTCTTTGTTACTTTGTTTGAATTGAAATGAATTGTTTCTTAAGGGTTATCATAAGAATATTTACTCAGTCTTTACTGATTCTATTGCTGTGGTTCATGTCACATACAACAGATGCTTAAATATCCACTTTTCTTTAGGTTATTATACTTTAGTTACCTCAATTTTGATCAGGTTTAATACAAGATTGATCTAGAGGCAACTGGTGAGGAGTGCTAATGATAATTTCTGTGAAATTATCCCATGCACAAATTCCGTTGTTTGAGTAATGTTTAAGTGAATACCTTTGCTCCCAAAAGTCATAAACTTGTTCCTTGACATACTTCTTTATAGAGCACCAATAGGAGTTCCATATAGAGGATCTTTGCCACTTTCAAACTCCAGGCCTTCCTAGTGTTTCTAAGAATTTACTTTTTCTATTAACCATAAGTTAAGAGAAAAAGTGGCTGGTATGGTATCTGGGGACAAATTGCCACATCCCATTTCCTTCTCTATGAGCAGGATTCCCAATTTTCAAGCCTGATGGGATATCTCACCTGGAACAAGATCTACAGGTCTTTGATTTGGAAACTAAGAATAGAGGAGTCTTAAAAGATGACTACTCAGGTGAGTAAGGCAGAATCAATCAGATGGAATTAGTCCTGTTGTTGAGCCAAGTTGTAGCTGCTTTGGCAGTCAGAATGGAGAGCTCCTCTGTATCCCAGAATGGATAATTCTTTCCTTTTCTCTTCAGTTTTTTTTTTTAAATTAATTTTTAGAGAAAAAGGAAACAGCAAAATATCCATGTCAGAGCAAAACATTGATCAGCTGCCTCATGCACACCCCCTACTGGGGATCAAGCTGGCAACTTGGGCATGTACCCTGACTGGTGAATGGAACTGGCAACTTTTTGGTGCATGGATGCCAAATCAACTTAGCCAAACTGGCCAGGGCTTCCCTTCAGTTTTGATGAACTCTTTGCATTTATTTTGTCCCTTATCATCCATAAGTTGTAGTAGGTCCCTATTCAAGTTGCTTGTCTATAATTTGTTTGAACTATTTCTCTATTTTCTCCTTTGAAATACCTTAATTAATTTTCTTACTCTGCTGAAAGTACCTTCTGTTTCTACTACATTCTGAACCATTTAGAACCTACCATACTTCTATTCATGTCCTTATATCTGCTGTTGAAATTTTGTGCATATGTTTCAGAGTAAATAAACTTCTCTAATCCAGATAGATACTATTTTAGCTTTGTCCTCTCTGAGTTTTCTTTTTCTAAGTATAGGGTACATATTACATTTGCATTTTCTATTTATATATTGCATCAGATGGAGGAACCAGAGAAGAGAACAAGCTGTTGATTCCTAAGCAGAAAATTTCAGAAGTACATTCATGCAAAATGAGAGTAGGAAGACTCAAAAAGGATGCCGGCCAAGTTCCTGACACTAGAGAAGTGTATAAATCTGAGGACAGATTAGAAAGGCTTCAGGAAATACTAAGGAAATTTTTATTCCTGGAGAGAGAGTTTAGGCAAATAACAATCAGCAAGAAAACTTTCACCAGTGAGAACAATGAATGTAATGAACCTGAAAAAAACTTCAGTCTGGAATCTACTCTTGATACAGACCAGAGAGATCTTAGAATACAGAACATTGATGATATTGATAGGTATGACATTAGCCTCAACCAGAATTCAGTTGCTGAGAAACGTGAACAAGTAAATCTAACACAGGATTTCCAAAGTAATGAATATAAAGAAAGCTTAATGGATCTTTCCCACCTTAATAAATGTGAGAGCATTTTCACCACTGAGAAATCCTATAAATGTGATGCATGTGAGAAAATCTTCCATCAGAGCTCAGCTCTTTCTAGACATCAGAGAATTCATACTAAAGAGAAACCCTACAAATGTAAAGAATGTGAAAAATCTTTCAGTCAGAGCTCAAGTCTTAGTCGACATAAAAGAATACATACTAGAGAAAAATCCTATAAATGTGAAGTGTCTGAGAAGTCCTGTGAATTACCTGATAAATCCTCTACTCAGAGCTCAGGCATAATGAAGCATAAGAGGATTCACACTAAAGCAAAATCTTATAAATGTAGCAATTGTGAAAGAGTATTCAGTCGTAGTGTACACCTTACTCAGCATCAGAGAATTCACAGAGAGATGCCCTGTAAGTGTAATGTATGTGGCAGTGACTTCTACCATACCTCATTTCTAGTCGAACATCAGAAGGTTCACTGTGAAGAGAAAGCCTATGAATATGAATGTGGGATGACTTTTACTAAACATCAAGGAGCTAGTCTCAGAGAAAAGCCCTATACATGCACTGAATGTGGAAAGGACTTCAGATTGAATTCCCATCTTATTCAGCATCAAAGAATTCACACAGGAGAGAAACCACATGAATGTAATGAATGTGGGAAAGCTTTCAGTCAAACCTCATGCCTTATTCAGCATCACAAAATTCACAGGAAAGAGAAATCCTCTGAATATAATGATTATGAGGAAAGTTTTAATCATAGTTCAGATCTTGTAGGACTGCAGCAAGAAGTCCTCACCAGAGAAGAAGCCTTTGATTGTGATGCATGGGAAAATAACCTCATTCAAAGAGCACAACTTGTTCAACATCAAAGAATTCATACCAAAGAGAAACCTTATGAATGTAATGAACATGGGAAGACATTTAGTCAAGTTCAGGCCTCATTCAATATCTGAGAGTTCACACCAGGAAAAAATTGTGAGTACTGAATGTGATAAAATCTTCAATCAGCTCAACCTTTTCATCATTGGAGAATCCACCCCAGAGAGAAATCCTCTGAATGTGATGAATGTAGGAAAGCTATTAGTTTTAAACTTTTAATTGATGCCTGCAAACCCATACCAGAGAAAACCTACAAATATATTGAATGTGGTAAATGCTTCATGTTATGTTTATAACTTAGTCATCATTGGAGAATTCATACAGGAATAAAAGCCCATCACTGTAAAGAATGTGAAAAAGCCTCAGTCAAAGAAAATAACCTTTTCAGCATCAAATTCATTCCATGCAGAAAGCCTATGAATGTAATAAATGTATGTGTGTGTGAAGATTCAGTCATATTTCAGTCTTCATTCAACATCAAAGAATCCATACACAAGAGAAGCCATTGAGTATAGGAGTTCAAGTCTTTTTTCCATCATCAGAATATCTACACCAGATCAGAATCTGATATAACTCAAGTGGAAAAAATTTACTGCCTTATTTCAGGCTTTACTCAACATCAAAATATTGGAGGGACAATTGTTGATTATTTGTATATGAAATCATTAATATATAGTCCCGATCTTTTTGATTGCAGAAGAGTCTAGCCTGAGGAGTGACATGGTAAATGCAGTGCTGTTTTCTCATGGCATTCTTTAATATAATAGGTGTTGTAAAGTTAACTATGTATACTTTATTTATGGAATTCATTTAAGCTATTTTTATTTTAATATGGCCTATAAACATTTTTCTTGAAATTGGTATTGTTCTCAGCTTCCCTACGATACTGTAATTACACCAATGTTAAAACGTATCAGCATTTGGAAAGTAGCTCCTTTAGTTTTTTTCTGTTCTCCACCCAAGTTCTCTCCAAAACAGACTATTAGGCCTGCTTTTTTTCTGGGGACCCTAATTCCTATTTGTTTCTAGCTACAACATTTGGATTTCTGTTGATTTCTCCACTCTCTTAAGCGCCTTCAAATGATGATTTCCTAATTTTAAGCTTTTCACCAGCAGGTATGCCATCCCTACTTGATGTCACTGTTCTGGTGTCTTTTTTTCCCCCCCAAAATAAAGCATCCACCTTTAAAAAAATTGGATTTCTACATCCGGTTTACCCATGAGTATGAACGATTCTGTCTCCCTTGAATTTATGACAGACAGCTAAACATTTTCAAGTGATGCCCAAATTCTTAGCTGCCTTGTTTTGCATCCACAGCCTACTAACAGAGATAAGAACTCCTAGTGGTGTTAAAGCTACATTTATTCAGCATCTATTCTGCATGTTTAAGTTTAGAAATATTTTATATACTTCCATTGAAGGCCAGCAAAATGCTCGGGCCTGCTTTTGATAGGGCAAAACATAAAGAACATATACTAAAAGATCAGAGAGCTTCATAAGGTAGAGAGCTCAGACTTCTAACAAAGATATTGCTGTTCTTATGTAATATCTCTAGGGAAAATATTTCAAGAGAGTTGGTAATTTTGTTCCTGGTAAAATTTTAACCGATTAGATTGTTTTCTTATCTATTTGGATTTCTACCCTCAATCTCCCCTCATCATTAGCACAATATTTGAAGTGTGAGGGCATTGTGTATACTTATTCATTATCACATTTTTATTTTTATTTTACTAGCTCATATAAAAGAACATGATTTTCTTGATTGATAAAAGTGATCACAGATGTTGGGTCCAGAGTTCAGGGTCACCATCATAACACCTAGCAACAGTTTATGATTCTTTAGATGATGTCAAAGCATTTTATTATATTTTTCCATCTTAAGTTTCATAATATTTTATAAATAAGACAAGTGTTATTTAAAATTCTAGTTGTCATTCCAGCAGTTGAGACCTTCATAGTTCAGATGTTATAATATTCATGAGGGATCCTCAACAAATATATAAAAATGTATTGCTTGTCCTATAAGCATTTTATAGCTAACCTCTAGGATAGTTCTACCAGTATATTTTACCTCTTAGCCATCAGCAAGCATATGATCTAATCAGGGCAAGGTAGGAATCTAAATGTAAAATCAAATGAAAATGCATGTTTTTTTTCTGTCAAGGAATGTGTATACTCATGTATAGAAACTAATAGTCACTTCTGGGGATTAAGAAACAGAGGATGAGGTAATCCTTAAATACCAGAATGTATAAACATGCCATGTATGCATTTGGTTTAGGAATGTGCTTTTTTACTTCCACTTGAATAAAAGTGTATTTGATATTCTGCAAATCTCTTTCAAATAAAATCTGAAGGCCTTAGCTGGAAGCATTGGGAAATTTTGGAATCACCTTTCTGTCTGCAACTCAGTTCCTTACAGATACTTGCTTCATAACAAGAGTAGATCTGTGTACTGATACTTACTCTTCCATAGAACTCTTGAGGAATAAAGTCTGAATGTTTAGGAATTAAAGGATTATTCGATTGGGATGGTGTCAGTACATAAAATATGAGTAAATCATTTGAGGTTTCAGTTAAAATAGGCAGAGTGAGTGTATGAGTGTGTGTGTTTAAATAAAACACATTTTTAAAAATTAGAATAAAGGAACTTGCCAGTTTAAGCTACCAATAGAATATGAGTTTGTGTTCTCAATTGTTTTAGTCTTGATGCTGGAGAGCTAAGAGAAGAAACCTATTAGTTGAGGGACACCTAATTTTATCTACTATCTGCCCACCCACGTACATGTGCATATTCAAACTTAATCCTCACAAATCTGCAATGGAACAAGCTTCATTTTACAGAACTGAGGTACAGGGAGGTTAAAGAACTTGTTAGGATCACATAGCAAGTTCAAATTCAGGTGTGTTTGACTCCAAAACTTTTTATCATCATGCAGTTTGTATTAGACACCAACCAGGGGCATTTTCTTTGATTGCTCTTCATTCCCTGTTGTACCCCAGTGATTCACTATTATTAGTTTGCAACTCATCCTAAATTCTCTCAAAGCTCTCTGGGATACTAGGAGAAAATATCCCAATATCTTTTAGGTTGCTAATCAGAGACCCTTCCATGAATAGGCTTAGACAATTTTGACTGACAGGTCACAGATCAAAGCTCCCCAGTTCCTGTCTCCTGCTCAGTCCCCTCCATTCTCATCACTAGATTTACATTTCCATTTTCAATGCCCAAATGTGCTCTTAATTTTTGTTGCTAATTAGAACTTGCTGATGGACATTTATTCTTACCAAGATTTACTGTCACCTCTGGTTATGTTATGTGGAACAAAGCAGTTATTGAGAAAATCAAGTTTGATTACTAGGTTCTAGCTTGAGCAAAAGAGTATCCAAATAGAGGTAGACTAGAGAGATATGTGGTACACTGGAAGAAGTGCAAGGAGAGTATTTCAGGCAAGAGAGATGATGTCAGAAGGCCTACAAATGAGCGTATGGCATTTTCAGGGTAATATATGAGCTTTCTGGAGAAATGCCGCATGCTAGGAAATAGTATGAGGGTAACTGATGAAGAACAAAAACTCATAGGATGTCATCTCAGCAAAACATAATGGGATTACCACAACTAGAAATGTAACTACCTGTCCATTCAATAATACATTTGCCAGACATTGATATTCAGTGTTCAGTTAACCTAATAAAACGAATGAAACTATCTACTGAGTAAAAAGAAACAGATTAGTTGTCTAAGCAATAGCTTTGGAATTAGACATACCTGTGTTTGAATTTTGCTGTTTACTAGCTGTGTGACTTAGGAAATTTTACTTAATCTCTCTAGTTTTCTTGTCTATACACTCTGGTTAATAGCATGGAAATTAAAGAGATAATGTAAAAGGTACTGGTCATATAGTAAGTGCCAAATAGTTACTAATATAAATACTATTATAAAAACCAGTAAAAATAGAAGACAGATGCTTATATAGAAGATAGAGGGAATTAGTGAGCAAGCATTTAACAGTGTAGGACTGGCATTGTCCAGAATGGGATACCCTGGGCTTGGAGAACTTAAATGACTAGAGAAAACATCAGGCATCCTTGTCTGTGGTAGGAACTGCCTCTTGACAGGCATTCCCTGTTGGGAGTCGGCAAACTGAAATATGTCTCATCTAAAATTTATATCATATGAGTTCACATTTTCAAAATACAAGTGCATAAAGGAACTATTGTTTAATACAAGACTATACGAATGATTTCAGTCAGAAATCAGATGGTGCCCTGTGTAAGTCATCAAGAAAATAATGCTGGAATTTTTTTATTTTGTTGATGCATCCTATTCACTCCACTTACAGAAAATGGTTAACCTCTTGTGTTTGTATTTCATTCATGTTTATAAATTTACAACTTGGACATAATTACAAGTGTCTTGTCTTTTTTTTTCCTTTTCTGCAGTTGCTCATATTACAAATCTTTACCCAGTATTTCTTCATTGTCCTTCCTAGATGCAGTTAGACACCAGGCTCTGGTTTGAGCAGACCTGGGTTCAAATGCTTCCTCCTTGCTTACTGGCATCTAAGATGGTAAAAATTACTTCATCGGATGTTGTGAGGATTAATGAGATGATATCAGTTGGTATAATATCCATAGTTGGTAGCTGTTATTTCTGAGTTTAGCAGGAATCTACCCTTATAATAACTCATTGCCTTAATTCCTTTTCCTGCTTTAACATAAAATGTGCCACGGGCAGATCTGTACTGCAGCTGCAGTAGGGTCTTTGGACCTCTCTAAGGTTTTTCTTTCTCATATTGGTATTGGTATCAGCATGTTCCTCCTGTTTGTTTATATACTCCGTGCAAAACTGGTAAGGACTGGGTTGAAGGGACAAAGGGAAAGACTGATTAAGGGTCTTTATAACCTGAATTTGGGCTCAGTGGGTCACCTGATCTGTAATTTTGAAGGAGGAGGTGAGATGGGTGGTAAAACTGCAGGAGTCAAGGGGAGGAGGCAAATGGAGTGCATACAGGGTCAGAGGGGATGAAGAAAGAAACAAATTTAGATCCTTGGTCCACTTAGTAATATAGT